CACTTTTGTTTGGGCTTTTCCCACTTTTTGTTTGATGCTGGGCAATGTTCCTCGGCAGAATGATTTTTGCATCTCTCGATGCACTATTGTGATTTGTGTGTATAATTCAGATCCTTTCTGCAGCAGGCATTGCACCTAAGATGTTTGCTAATAATAGATGTGGTTTTCTAATGTAGTTTGTAAATTGTAGGGGATACTGAAGCCTGTTTTAATACCCACTAGATATGTTGGTGTTACAGATGATGTATACAGAAATGTACACTTATTTTTTGGATCACTGCACTTTTTTCACTGCACTTTCACTGCTAATGGCAAAATTGGTATTGAAGTAAGAATAAAAGGAAAAAATAGTAAAAAAAAAAAAGGAATGTGAAACATCCTCAGATGAGCATTTGGTGGGATTTTTAGCTACAGACAAGACAGCAGGAGCTTGGTGGTGCGTTTGCTCAAGCAAGGTGGGACTGGGGCTCAGTTCACTGCCATCAATTACTGTTTCAGGTGGCATGAAACCAGATTGGCCCCAGGCTTGACTGCAAGGTGCATGGAGAGTGAGAAAAGAGCATGGGAAGATGGCTTGTGGTTGTGGCCGTACTTAGATGGATGAAGAGTCTGAATTCTGTTCTGGTTTCAGTGGGGTGTGAGGAGTAGTTGGACATGAGCTGTCCTGTCTGCTGGCCGGGGTGGAGCTGCTTTTCCTGGGTCATTCGCATCTTCTGTCCCACCGTTTCCTTCCCCCTCGCACCTCAAAGGGTGCTTTGGGCAAAAGCAAGGAGGGGTTCATTCTGGAGGTGGGGTGGAGATGGGGAGCGGAAGGAGGGATGCAGAGGATGGAGGTGCAACGTGCCAGCAAGGGAGGTCATCCAAAAGTCAGGGGGGGAGAAGAGGGGAGCAGGAGGCCATGGGGCTGCAGCAGGCATCGACTGCCCCACTCAGCTTTCTACCCAGGGCAGCAGCCCCCATGGGCTAAAAATGCCAAAAAAATTTTGGGATTGTTTTCAAATAATATTTTGTTGTTGTTGTTTGTTTATTTATTGAGCCTTTATTGACCAAACCTAATTTTGCAACCATGTTTAATTTATTTTGAGACTTATTATACATTATAGATAAGCTTTCTTTCTTTCTTTCTTTGGCTTGGCTTATGCTTTTCAAAAACAAATGTTACTTTTGGCAAAACAGCTGCATTAAAGTTGATTGCAGTTTCTCAGCCCTATGTTGCTCTCCAAACACTAAAACAGCCAGTTGGCAGCCTGTGCTATCCTTATATTAATTGCACTCTTAGTAATCCCTGTCACTACCTGAAACCAACCGTGTTCCTGGGCCATCAGTAGCATTTCTGAATGTGTTTCCGTAAACTTTGTGTTCCTGAAATGAGGGCTTGGGCATGTTACAATGGCAGCATGCGACCACTGCTGGTTTGCATTCTTCTGCTGCTCAGTATTGCTGAGGTTAAGGTTTTCTTTGGGTCCAACATTTCACATCATAGCAATACAGCAACATTGTCCGCTTCTGTTGAGCCAGCAAAACTGCATCCTACCGATAGCTTTTCTTCTGTTCTCTTTCAATATTTGAAGGCACGTGTCAGCCCGTATGTGGTCTGTGGCAGCTGAAAGGTATTTCTGAAAGCTGCTCCAACCTGTGTACTTTTTTGCTTTTTACACATGAGGTGCAGCAAGCTCTGAACCTGCTTGTGAGCTCTCCTTGCTGTCCAGAGAGGAGCTAGTTAGGATTCAGGGTCAGGCTTTTGTTTTGTTGTGTTTTTCCAGAGGGCCCTGAGAAGTGGGGGGGTGTGAGATGTGATCTGCAAAGCAGGGCAGGAGCTGAAGGTCTCATGAGTGGCGTTGTCTTTGTGAGCTGAATGCGTGCGGTAGCACTGCGGGCATCAGCAGGGCTGGTGTCATCAGGTCTGCAGGCAGCACGTGAATTGTGGCATGCTGGTCATGCTGCTGGCCGCTTGCCCAGCCGCCAGCCACCCTCTCCTTGCATTTCTGCATCAGTTCTGTGGGATTTCTATTTCAACTGTTATCATAGGGGGTTGGATTTTTTTTCTTCACCCCACTTTACTCATCATCTTAGAGCATAAATAAAATCTGCAATTCTCAGTGAAAGCATCCTTAAAAAGTAATTGTCAGGTTTCATGAACATGGATCATTAGTCTTAAATCTCTTAAATGGTCCCCATCCCACAGGGAGTGATGTGCCAGTCTTCCCTCCCTCAGTGGCTCCTCGTATGCTGGGACACAGCAGTGGCCTGGGCTCGGGAGAGGCGCGATGTCTTGGAGCCCCATGGAGAAATGAGGATGCCAAACCTCCTGCAAAATGGAGTCTCCAGTGGGAAAAGGTGTGTGAGGGGAGGAGACTGATGTGTGTGACTTCAGCACTGAATCTGCACCCTGAGGCTTCTGTGAATGAGAAATAGCGGTGCTTTATAGTCCTTGAAAAAGACAAAAATCAGATCTGTGATACAGCTTAAAAAAAAAAAGTAACAAAAAAAATCTTTCCAAAGAAGTTGTGCCACAGGTCTTTTGTTTGTCTTCTGTACTGAGGATGAATTGCTGTGTGTGTGTATATATATAAAATTAAAACATGAATTTTGACTTGCTTGTGTTCAAGTCCTTCAGATGAAAGAGATGTTGGTCAAAATTGTAAAGATGAAATGAAAAACAAGCTGCCTGGGGAGGGGGAATTCCTTGTTTTGATTGTGCTGAGGCTGAGATGTCTCACCCTCCCCTGTACTCTGCTCACACACGGTCGCGCAAGCACAGCCCCTGGGTGCAGCTTTGCTTGGAGGTGAGGGTCGATGTGCCCGTGCAACGTGTGATTGTGCTGCGTGTCTTCCTTCATATGTGGTTGAATTTCTAGAAATATTCAACAGCACAAACTTGCCACTGTCTTCACCTCGTTGCCGCCTTTGAGGGAAGATATCAAAATGGTGTGTTTCAAGTTTTCTTAACCTTGAAGTTTGAAATTGAGGTGTCCATCCTGATGAGACTGCGATGCTGGGATCCACCTGTAAGTACTGCTTCAGCAAAATATTCAAGCATGTTTCCAAGCCCCATTTATTTTTCCTGAGACTGGGGCATGTTTTACTGGGCTGTGTCCTCGGGAGCTCTGGATAACTGGGTACATATGTCATTTCCCTTTTTACCTCTCTCCTAATGACTGTGTGCATAGTAGTCCAATGCTGCCTCTATCTTTTGGTTGATAACATGAAAAAGAAGACAGAAGGGTGGCACAGTGGTGTCTTGGAGGCAAAAGGAAGACCTTGGGCACCAAACAGGAGTAGTGAGAGCAGCTAGGACCTTTACTGAGGACGGGAAGAAAGAAGGGCTGTTTGGCGCTCTCTGCTTTTCCACTCCTGGCCTTTCTGTCTTGCACTGACCAAGATTTTGGCTGGGAAGCTGGCAGCCACTTGTACAAAAGAAAAGCGAGAAACGTGAGGAGAAAGTTGCCATGTGGCATAACGTGCGATGACAACGTGACATCTAATTGCAGTCATATTGGCTGCTGTACCGTGCTGCTTGTTCCATCTGGCGGCTCTTCAGGTGGAGATCTGACTCAGGCTGTGTCAGAACAGTGCATGGATTTGGAATTCCTTTCTCCCTGCAGCCCATGCTGAGTTAGGTGTGCTGCCTTGCGCTGTCCTATTTTTTTTTTTTTTCTTTCTTGGAAAATGTGCGTAGGGAAGATAACTTGCTTATGATTCTTGGCCTGAGTTAAGTCTTACTGTGAAGCAAATGAAGACACAAAAATGTATCTCGTTGGCAGTGTAACCAAAGCCGTGCCTCGCTGCCACTCCCAGGAACTGCTGCATAGTTGCCTGCTTAGAGTCTTAATTTTCAGGACCATTAATTTAATAAGCATCAGAGAAATTCTCCCATGGGATGCTGCCCGGTAGCAGGGGCGCTTCAGAAGCCTGGCAGGAGCCATAGCCACACATGCGTTCTCCTCATCACAGTGCACGTGCGTCTTACTATCTCTGTCAGGCTGCCACACCACGCAACGTTGGTTACGTGCACTCATTGAAAGATTGAGTCACCGTTTCAGTATAAAACTTAGGGCAGGTAGGTATTTGCTTGGGCTTTTTGCTTGAAGTGATGGAACATGACAACCCCTGCAGCCCAGACAAGTTAGATGGCAGAAATTACATAGCTGCCTGGTGACTTTTTTTTGTCCTGTATGTGCTGGAACAGCTTTAAAACAAAACAGTCTGGAATCCAAGGAATTGCATTAAAATGCCATGAAGTGGCAGCAACACCAAGCTGGCTGACAGAGCCAGGAAAGAATTACAAATATAAGTTTCATCTCCTGGCTAGGAGTGCTTTATTTGCTGATAGTTCCAGTCGAGAGAACATGCAAAGGTTTAGAAAGCAAATACGGATGTGGTAAAGGCAGCCAGCAAAGAATTTAAGTGGAGCATCTGGAATAAAGTACTTAGGTTTGAAGAACTGTGCACTGCAGCGATGTTGAAAATAAATTAAAAGCGGTTTCAGCCTAAATGAAGATAGAAAGCCCTATTTAACTGGGAGTGATCTGGAGTTACGGACTTTCCAGGCATTTGTTCTCTAAGTGTGAGCAGGCTAATTGGCTGAATTTTTATTGCCTGATGACAACTTGTTTGCAAAACGAGTCTCAGTGTCACTTGGTGTCATGTCGGAGCCATGGTCCCATCACACAAGATCACGCTGAGCATCCTACAGCTGCTTCAGCAGGCAGAGCGGACAGGCAGCAAATGAGGTAAACGCAACCACTTCTGTTTCTCAGTGTGGTTCAGGGTGGTTACGCTGGGCTGGAGTTGCTGGGAAGCTGCGCAATCAGTGTTGCGTTCTGAGCACTCCATCTGTAACAAACCTTTATTTACTCAGGAGTTTCCCTGAGTTGGCAAGGCCTGCCCCCCACTCCTTGACGTTTGCCGTTTGTAGATGTTTTGCCCATTGACGTGAATAAAATGGGCTCATTTCCAACTCCTAGAAGAGATGGAATCACTCCAGAGTCAAAATGTTTATGCAAGCAGAGGTAAGACACAGAGCTGAGGTAGTGCAGGTGGGACACAGGAAGGTAGCCTGATTTTAGGCAAGTGTGCACAAAAGTTCAGGAGAGCAAAGCGATCTCATAACATTTCTTGGGGCTTTGATAGCTGCCTTGCTGCTGGACTGTCTGCGACTCTGTTGCCGGCACTTGAATGCAGTCAGACCAAGCATAGAGGAAGAGGCCAATTGCACAGAGGCAATTGTGCTTTTATTTAATTACCTTCCCATGGCTCTAAAAAAAGAAGCGTTACCAGATCCTTGCTTTTGATGAATAAATTGCTTCTGACACGTTCAGTCTGCCCTATATGCATGCATGCTACAAGAGTTCACAACACCGACACTGGAATAACTGCCCCCAAATCCCACCGGACCTGAAGGAAGATCCCAGAGGCAGGCATGGATCCCTCCAGCGCCTGGCTGGGAGCAGGGTTACCTCCTGCCTCTGTGGGCGCAGCAGCCCAAGGCCGTTTGGGGATTGCCTGTTGCACAAATACAGGGTGTGCGCAAAGCCCTCTGCGCCAAAGGATCGGTTACTTGCAAGGCTGCATCCCCCTCTACAGGCGGACATTTCACTGAAATAATTTTCTCTCAGCTGCTGTTTAAATGGGAGGAAAGTCTGTAGTCTTTCTGGTGGGACTGTGAATGCATGCATATCTCTTGTTTACGTTTTGAAATACGCAAGTAGCATGTGCAGCGGCTTCTAAAGTCTTGCATCTACATCAGAATATGTCAGCAGGATGTCTCATCCAAGCAGTTTTCTGTTAGGAATGAGGTGCCTTTGGGGAACAGCAGTATTAAAAAGTATTCAAAGCTGTGAAAGCATAGCCAAATTCTCACAATCCCCTCTGAGCGTAAGTAATAAGGTAGGAATTTTAAGATTATTTTGAATGGACGTATTTTACAAACTTGAAATAAACACTAATAGATGCAAGATCCTTGCATTAGGATATTAGGGTGTGTCCTGAAAAAAATGAAATCAGAAATTACTGTTTTAATGTAGCAATCAGAAATCTAACTTAAAGGGTTATTTTGTATTGCTCTTCCATGCATAAAAGTGCTCAGACCAAAATTTCCCAAAGACAAACATGGCTGTGGGCAGCACAGCAGCTTATGCGCTGCCTTTGGCAGGGGTATGATTTGGGAGGAACTGGGAAGCCCCAGTCCAAGTCCTGAGATGAGGAGCAGTGTGGTGCATGAGGGCTGCTGTGGGAGAGCTGAGACGGGGAGGTGGCGTCTCCTGGAAGCTGGGGCGGCAGTGGGGTGAGCAGGCAGCAGGGTAAGTGCTGGCTGTACGCGTGTGACTGGAGCGGCATGGCCAAGGGGGCTGGTCAGGAGTGGTCCAGAGTCTTGGTCTTGCTTCCAGAAGCCCATGACGTGGTTAAAATCAGCAGGCTGGAAGCGTTGATCTGAGTAACTGTGACCACGCTTGATTCTTCAAAAATGTTTTTTTCTTTGTGTTTAAAGGATGCTCTAATGGGTTTATGATTTTTATGGGTGAGGTCAAGGCTTTTAGATGCAGGAAAAACAACATTAACAGAAGCAATAACAATTCCACATTTGGGATCAGATGTGCATCATGTTTAGATGCAATGATTTCATGTTTAAAGACTTCGCTATCACAAATCCTGGTTTAGTTTTAAATTAGAAGATGCAGTGGGAGCCAGCCCCAGGCTGGCTGCCTCACCATGGGGAGCCAGGATGGGCTGCTCTGTTCCCTCAGCCTCGGTGCGGGGGGCGGGTGTTACTTCTTTATCATCATTATCCTGTTGCCACTATAATGGTGGCCACTATTAATCTTAGATGGCACCAGAACTACAAATATTTTGTGCAGAACTGTTTTTTAGAAATGCTATTGCTAGTAATGTGATAATAATGTCAAAGTATCAAAAAAAAAAAAAAAAGATTACTGTGGCAACAAACTGTAATGACTTAGTACTCAGACCTAGTACCATTTGACTTCCAGCTACGGGGTCAACAGCAGAGCTCCTCCCATGCTGCCCAGAATCCCAGTGCATTCGCTGTACCCTTACTTCCCCTCGGAACAGGTCCAGGAGTGTGTGAGTTACGCACAGGTTGGCCCCCATGGTACTAGCACTGTCCCACCAAGCAGAGGAATGTTACCAGCTGCCAGTGTTTCTTTGTGGAAAAATTGCTTTTTTTTTTTTTTTCCCTCCTCAAGTTTTCTTGTTGCTAGCCAGGACGTCGACCCTATTCGGTTCCAGAGAGGGAACCTGCACCTCTTCTTTCCACCCCTCCTAGCCAGGTTAAGAGCCAGAAGTACCACAAGGGTGACCACATCCTTGCACAGAGGCAAGGGTGGTAGCAGGGCAGTACGGGTCACGGCTGCAAAGCAGGATTTTCCCTGCTGACAAAGGCTTTTTGTTGAGAATTATACTCTGCAGAAACAAAAAACCACCCAAAGTTGTAATGTTTCCCTATTTCTACAATAGCATGCTCCAGTAATACCAGGTGTGTTGAAATACAAATGTTTTATTGCAATGTTTCATTATTTACAGTACCATTCACTTTGTTCCTGGGTGCTATCAAAGTGCAAGCCATTCAAAACAGAAAAGCTAAGTGACAGTAACTCAACAGCAAAACATGACTGTGCCTTGTGCTCCTACTATCCTGACCCTTCCCTGGTACTGAATGCAGAGAAGTTTGCTGCTCTCCCTGGTCACCTGCAACAACCTGGTAAGGTGAAACTTTGGTCACAAAGGATTGTCAGTTGCCGGTCTGCTCAATGTGATGCAGGAACAGGAATCTGCAGCCTTTTCCAGCTGAAGTTTACTTGAAATTCGGGGTTTCTGACTGCATAAAAAGATGCCTTTGTACATAGGACTGTCAAGTTCCTATTTCAATTTTTGATGTAAGTACTGGTTTATTTCCAGTTCTTTTTATTGCTGATTCTCTTTGGTTTAGGTAAGCTTTAAGTCATCAACCTGTTTTGAGGCTATATCTTCCTGGCTTAACTGTCTTAAAAGAGCCAGTACCTCTAGAATTACCACAGAGTTGCTACTGCGTACTGAAATTGGAGATGTCTTCTCCTAGAGTTGTATTTAAAGGTCTTTGCAGAATACTGCAACTTCTATTATGTGTTTCCATTTTCTGATTCAGACACCACTGAAGCCTCCAGCTATGTGTGAAGCCCACACACTATCATCTCAAAGTAGGACAAATTACACTGGTTACTTCAGGAATGACCTCTCAACAGAAATTGCCTTTTGAGGAGGGGATAGATACAACAGATTTAATTGAAGACTTGAGTGTTCCAGTATTCCAGTGGCTAAACTCAGGCCAAGAATCTTTTCAGCTTTCTAACAAGTGTATTAGCTTGAGAAAGTACTTTGAAAGGCGGGTTTCAGACTGAGTACCTGCGGCTTCCACTGCTAACAGCAGTCCCTTGGGAGGTGGGCAGTGAACTTCTCTGTTCCAGTTATCTTTTAGTTGTTACCTTCTAAAACTTGTGTTACAAAGCTCTTGTACAATCAAGAAATGTTTAAGACTACATTCCTGAAAATAAGTTATATTAAACGGCACTCGAGTCCTCCAGAAAACATGTAGCAGGGCTGTTGGGCAAGCACTTAACTGCTGCTCTCTTTCCTCACAGTTCAATAATGAGTCCCTGCAACAGCTGCCTCAGATGATTCTGAAATTACAACTTCTCAAAAATGGGATGACTGCAGCTCTTGGCTGCAGTATTGGTTTTATTTCTTAACCTACCATACAAAACACAGTGCTTCAAAGTTCTGCGGTGCCTCCCTAATATCATTCCTCTGGAATCTGGAAGAGGCAGCAGAGCTCACATACAGTCAACAACATTGCTGGATCCCTGGCCCACGTCCCGGATCTGGCTGCTGAGACAAGCGCACACAGCCACGCCTGCCCCTGCCCTGCAGTGTGACACAGAGCCAACGAGTTCCCACCTAAAGGAAATGGTAGAGGAAAAAAAGAAAAGTAAGTTCCTGTCCTTTCTGAGCAACGCAAAAATTTCTTTTCTGTGTCTGAAATTCTGTTCTACAACCTAGCTGTTTACTCTGCACAAAAATACACCCCTCTGGTTTATTCGTATTATTTCTCTGGTAAATTTAGTGCAAAATCAGATTGACACAACCAGAAGGTAGATCCTTACTGAATAAAGGGAAGAGGACAAGGGATGGAGGACAAGTCTTACAAGGAGCGGCTGAGGGAACTGGGGTTGTTTAGTCTGGAGAAGGGCTGAGGGGAGACCTCTACAACTACCTGAAAGGAGGCTGTAGCAAGGTGTGGGTCAGTCTCTTCTCCCAGGTAATGGGCGATAGGACAAGGGGAAATGGCCTCAAGTTGCGCCAGGGGAGGTTTAGGTTAGACATTAGGAAAATTTTTTCACCGAAAGGGTTGTCAAGCATTGGAATGGGCTGCCCAGGGAAGTGGTCGAGTCCCCATCCCTGGAGTTATTTAAAAGAAGGATAGATGAGGTGCTTAGGGACATGGTTTAGTGGTGGGATGGCAGGTTTGGGTTAACGGTTGGACTTGATGATCTTGAAGGTCTTTTCCAACCTAAACAATTCCATGATTCTATGGAGAAGAGGAGGAGGTGCTTCAATATTTACAAGAACAACCCAGTGGCGTAAGCAGCATTCCTACATCGCTAGTCATGGATATTACAGATAGACTCCTGCTGCACACTATTTCTATTATGTTCTGTTTTCATATAGGCAGATTTCATTGTCTTACTAAGCCAAATAAAAATTTTTAAATTTACCTATTCACTATGGGATCAAATGCTTCCACCGTATTCAGGTACGCATTGCCGTTATGACCTCCAACTGCAAAAATTTTACCCATCAGTGTCGCTATGCCAACGCCACCCCTTGGAGTTGTAAGCTCTGCTACGTATTCCCATTTGTTACTGCGTGGGTCAAACCGCTCCACCGAGCTCAGTGGAGAGTTGTCATCAAAGCCGCCTGCAAAGAATCACCACAGTATCAGTTTTTAGCCACTCCTACTGCTGGCGGTATCCAGGACGGGCATTATCAGGCTATTCTCAGCACTCAGTGGGCTAGTGTCCAGCTCTGTTTCTTTACATGAATATTACAAGCTCCTAAAGATTAATCTAACAGCTCTCCCTCCTGTCACCCTACAGGCATCACCAAGAGTGACAGTTTTCTTCTTTCAAGTTGCAAGGAGAGGTGTTTCTATTCTTTTTCTCCTTGAATTCATCTTACACATAGTTAAAATGAAACAGCTTCTAATTTGGAACAGAAAAAATACTAAGACCTGAAAAGGATGGTATTATTTTGGCTTAAGCAAAACACACCCTTACCAGGTATTCAAATTACAGCATTGCTGAATACTTGACTAGGAAAAAAAATTCCACAAGTAAGACTTCAGTGATGCATTCCCCTTGCTGGGGCAGCTGTCAGAGAAGCATTTTACTCAGAACTTTTTTCACCACAAGGCAGAGCTCTGCAGCTATCGCTACGCCATACCTACCTGGCATCTTCCTCCCTCGGGAAAGCGGGTGAATGCAAGGTAGAGCAGAACAAGACAGACCTAGGACAACATGCTGTGGAATAAGTGTAATCACCATGCGAAAAAGCTACTGTTGTCTACACTCAAAACAGAACTAGAGTGCTTTAAAAGTGTGTGAACTTAAGAATCGTTTTCCTAAAAGGAAACTCCAGATTAGTGAGTCTTGAGAGTATTTTTCTATATAGACATATTGTTCTGAATAGGATAGCCCTCCTGCAACGTGGGTTAGGAACTGCTTTTTATTTCCTCGCTAACATACCTTCAGTTAAGCGTGCCCTGGTTGCGCTTGCTTTCTTCTCCTGCCCAAGAACACAAAGTACAGGTCAGGTCTATCTGTTCCCGTTCCTCTAGCAACAACAGCCTCTTCCAAATGCCAGTACTTGGCAGAAACAGCACTACAAAATGCTACATCCCTACTCACCGACAACATACAAGCAGCCATGGAGCTCGCTGACACCGTTGCCAGCTCTTCGCTGACCCATCTCTTTCACTTCCATCCACTTATCCAAATGGGGATCATATTTCTCCACACTGGAAAGAGATGCTACACCGTCATTGCCACCCACAGCATAAACATGGCTCTGGAAAACAGTTGTATAGAGAAAGATTATTTGTAATGTATATGCGTTTACTCAGCTTTTTATAAGCAATGTTAAAATTATAGGAAAACATGATATACCCACACAGCCCTAATTATTTGCTTTTATTTAAGAATTCCAATAACAGACAATAATTATCTAACAACTTGTAATTAAAGAAGTGAAAAAGTTATGTAGCGTTGCAGGTATTTTGCGGCATATATGTGGCAACAGGCGAATTAAAGTGCAGATGCATTCAGTACCTTTAAACATAGTAACCATGACAAGCCAGAGTCTTCTGAATGAGACACGAAGCATTAGCCTCATGTTGTTAGAAGGGTCTTAGTACTTGCTCCCAGTACCTCAAATACCGGTGAAACAGGGCGTGCAGTTCAATTTCATATGAGTATTATCCTAAATAGCCTCACCTTTTGCACAGCTCCATAGGATTTTTATGACCAGAGGCTGCATTTTGTTTAAAAATCTTGTGTTCTGCCTTGTAAAAGCAGATTTGAAAAGCAGGTCAGTTCCTCAGTTGGCCCCAACCTGGGAGGAAACAGTCACTTACCACAAGGGCTACGGAGCCAACTCCTCCCCTGGGCGTGTTCATTGGGGCGACTGCACTCCAGCGGTCAGAATCAACATCGTATCTTTCCACATCGCTGAAGCAAGTGTTGTCATCTAAACCTCCTATTGCGTAAATGGGGCCACCAAGGGAGGCAAGAGCAATTCCTCTCCTAAGAAAAACCATAGGATCAATACCTCACTGCAAATACTTAAGGAAAGGGAAGGGGGGGGGGGAAACACATCACATGCAGTGTTACCTGACCAGTACCTGTTTCAAACTATGTGGAAAAAGTAATGAAAATTTAAAAAGTGAAGTTTTTAATAAATAATGAGCACTAACCGTGGCTGGCCCTCTGCACACCTGTGTCAGTCTTTCAGCTTTATCCTGAAAGTCTTTCTTTGCTATGTTTGCAGCCTCCCATTAGATAGAGGGGCTCTAGAGTTTTATCTTAACTTCACCTCAGCTTTCCCAGGCATTGCTGTGTGCTCCATGAACAGGGCTGTTGCAGCTAGAATATTTTTAGACTGCAAACAAAGATCCTGTTTAAAAAAATAAAATGAAGAGGTAGGCGGCATGGAATAATGTTTTGACTGAATGTTACCTAAGTCCTCTACTTACATGCTCAGCTATTTGATTATTAGTTATTTGTCTCAGTTAGTTACTTATTTTTCTATCTCGGTACTGAATTTTACACCTCCTCACTTGTTTTATTGAATCTGATGGAAAACCAAAACCCGCTTGTTTTGGTTTAGCTGCTGCTACAATTTGGGAATTATTTTTTTGGGGGCTTTAAGGATATTGTTTAAGGTTAACCTGGAAATTTAGACCGGTTTGATAAAAAATAATAAGAACATTTAATCATCTGTAATCAGAAAAATATAGTTAGCATTCTTAGAACAAGGACATCCTGGAGCAAGTAGGTAGGCCTGGGAAGGACAGCTAATCAAGACATTTTCAAAACATCTGAAACTTGGCAAGTAAGCCCAAGGTCCATGTACCCTCAACTGAACTACCCTCATTCTAATACTAAAAATCAGACCCCCAGGTCAAAAGACCCTTGCCCAGGGGAAGACCCTTCCTCACAGAATGTGTGTAGTACAAAGAAAGCATACTGTAGCTTTAAGTGTGTACAAGCCTCCGGGAACCAGTAAGACACAAAAGTGATAAAGTGTGATTGCGAAATAACTGATAATTGTTGCTCTGAGTGTATAAAACGCTGCTGTGTGTTAACTGAGGTGTGCCTGATGATTGATTTATGGGAAACCACCTAGCACTCAGGATTGCACAAACCTAAAATAAATAAGCAATGTCTCTCCTGAGTGTGTGACAATCGACTCATTGCACACTGGGCCCCAGATCCATTTTTCAGACAGCAATAGTAATACATACTAAAAGGCAAGCCTGTGCTGGGTATTAGGTGACTGAACTCCAGCAAGATTTAATTGCAATTTCTTTATGTTATTTTTTTATCAAGTCTGTGTCAAAATAATTGTCAGACTTTTTCTCTACTGAATCTACCACTAAGAAAATACAATCAGTATTACAAAATTAAAAGTATGGCCTAGGATGTAAGCATTAAGTTTCTGCTTTAACTACCAAGACAGATGATTTACACATCTCACTGAGAACATTCTTGTCTCCTTACACAGAGGGCAGGTGCGCAGATACCTAGGCAGGAGCATACATTGTGGCAATATCCTGGGCTTATCGTAGCCCACCATACAGAGATATGACAGATAACATAGACGCCATCAATGGTGGCAATTTTTCCTCAGCTAAGTATTCTGACACCGCCTCCCTGAATAGGAGGAGTGGAGCACAGCCAAGGCACAGCAGCCCTTTCATTTACTGAGGTACTGAGCAAGAAATGTCACAGAAATATTGGGCTGATATTTGCCGAGAATATGCCACCACCCCAGGTGGCAGGAGGGAGGAAGAGGAGGAAAAAGCCACTTCTAGGAGTCTGGGTGGTCTTTGATGAGGTCAGAGCTACAAATAACTTTAGGACTTAGTATTTCACTCCTACTTGTACATGATGCTTTTAGAAACAACAAATAAAATGGAATTGTAGAATTACAGAGGTTGATTTAAATGACAGCAGAAACAAAAAATTACAGATCTGTGAGTCCAGTAGCTCCTTAAAAGAATCTTAAATGTCAAAAGGCAAGAAAAATCCTTGATTGGACTTTCAGTGTTTTAGTGCTTCCAGCCTTTTGTGGCAAAAACATAGACAGCTATTGGTTTTCTGGGCATGAAGTATTTCACTGTGCATGTTCTGCTGGCAGTTATTTTGCTTATTCTTAAAAAGAGCAAAAAAACCTCACAGAACCAGTCAGAATGTAAGCTCAGCTGGAGTGGAAGAGCTCTCTGCTCCAGAAGCCAGCCCCCCCCAAAACAGAAAAAAAAAAGAAAAGGATAATAGAGTGACAAAAGAAAGCCAAAGCATAAACACAATCAATGTTACCAGCCAGAGCCTCTTCCTAGAGAGAGGAATTACGCAGGTTTTGCACTGAAATACTTAATAGTATGTTATACACAACTTTGTGTTTGTGCAAATATGTGATATATGCATGTATGTGATGCAGATTTGCATTTGCTTTACAGCCAGTAAAGGTGTTTGATAGCTTAAAGCCCCAAAATAATAACAAAACAAAAAAAAAAGGCAGGACAGGCATGATGTTTTTCAACATCAGCAAGAAATGATATATCAATCATAGACTAGGACTTAAATTTTGGATCACCGGACACATACCGCTTCGTGTTCATTGATGCCTTCATCATCCACTTGTTTGTGAGAGGATCAAATACTTCCATGCTTCCTAAGTGTTCATTTCCATCATGTCCACCTACTGCATAGACTTTACCTAAAACACATACACATCTTTTGATACAGAGATTGCTTGTTAACATTTCAGTTTTCATTTACGTAATATCCCTGCCTATATGGAGACTAAAAGCTCAAATAAAGGTTAAAGTTTTCAAGTGTTTTCAGTACCAGGATTTTAATAAGTACAGACTTTATATTTTTATATGCTGAACTCAACCAGAGATCTGTTCTAACTTGGACTTTTATAGAAAGCTTGAGATAGATACATACACAAAAAAAATATTCCCATAATTTGCATACTGCCGGTCAGATCAGTTTGGGACATTTATATCAATCTCTCCAGATTTTCAGAGGGCGGGGAAGATCTCTGTTCTGCTGCAGCAACACAGGGGCTACAATGTACAAGGAGAAGTTGCATCATGGGTGCTAAGCTGCTCTGGACTGCAGAGACATGGTTTCAGAAGATTATGATAGAGACCCAAAAATAAAGGTAGGGATGTAGGTCTGCTCTGTTATGGTCTTAGTGACTTGCCTGTATGGATTTAAGTATGAAGGGGAGCTAGGATCAGTATTAGCAAATTCTGGGTGACTCTGCTGCGTAATGCCATTTCTTTATTAATGGATTAAAAAAAAAAATTAAATCAGCTATTAAGGCAAGAGGCTATATACAATTCATAGAATCACAGAACAGTTTGGGTTGGAAGAGCCCTTTAGAGGTCATCTAGTCCAACTCCCCCTGCAATGGGCAGGGACATCTTCAACTCAGAGCCCCATTCAACTTGACCTTGAATGTTTCCAGTGATGGAGCATCTACCACCTCTCTGGGCAACCTGTGCCAGTATTTTACCACTCTCATCATGAAAAATTTTTTCCGTATCTAGTCTAAATCTACCTTTTTTTAGTTTAGAACAATTACTCATTGTCCTATCTCAGCAGGCCCTACTAAAAAGTCTGTCCCCATCTTTCTTATAAGCCCCCTTTAAATATTGAAAGGCTGCAATAAGGTCTCCCAGGAGCCTTCCCCAGGCTGAACAACCTCAACTGTCTCAGTTTGCAGCAGTCTTTTCAGTAAGCATGCTCTCAGCTTGTTTCAGAGTCAAAAACCCATTCATGGCAAAGCAGCTTTACTAAATTGAAAAATATCCAACAGTTAAGCCATTGCAACACAGATTTATTTAGTAAAAGCACCAATTCCAGCAAAAGGAGCAAACAAGTGCCTTTTGAATCGGGTTGCTTGAATTGGGTTACTGACCTCCCACAGAGATCACACCCACATGCCTTCTCCTGCTGTTCATTTCAGGGCCGAAGAACCAGTTGTTCTTACTGATAGAGTAACACTCAATGCTGCGAAATGGGTCACCTGATCCACCTCTACCACCGACACAGAACAGCACACCTGAAGAAGACAAAACAGGTTTCCAGAAAACTAGAAGGAAGATGGAAGTTGTACAGCAGGGTGAACTGAAAATTACGTAGTTTGGGAGAAGTCGAATTTCATTTCAAGGGGCATGGTCATTGCCCTGCATAATTGCATCCTATATTTCAGCCTTTGCTCATCATGCTGCTATGGCAATTAACTATCTATGCTCTTGCAAAAGCAATACATATTTTAAATATGCTTTTTGCAATTTTGCTTAGGGAGATAAACAGATTGTTTGTTAACTATAATAATGTAAAAATGAGGATCTGCAGTCTAATACTGCATCACTTACTTTTGGTGTAGGTTAGCCTAAGAGTTTAAAAGTTAGCTCAACCTTCTCACACCAAAAGATGTGTCCACTGTTTTTAGTATAGCTTTGAGCATACTGCCTGGTCATACCATAACAGTTCTAGCTTTAGCACAGCTAGAGCCAATCAGGATAAAAAAATAATCCTTTAAAGAAATAAAACAACTGCTAAAGTCAGGAAAACACAGCACATATTACCTAATTACCAAAGAGGTACACAATGGCTTTCCCAATTTTGCATTAAGTTACTAAGTCATTAACAACTGAGCTAGCTAACCCTGCACAGATGTGCCGCCTTTCCTCCACACCACTCCCTACTGGATAATCATCAGACACACATTTAATTACCAGCAGTCTGCTTCCTTGGTGTTGTGCGAATGGAGTACTCAAAGTCTGGCACTGCCCTGCTGCTCAGGTGAAGGTGGTAGTTTCTTGCTTCATCCAGCAAATCCCTACATTTTAGATTCTGCTTGACAATCTCTTCCTTTGCCACAACACCCATAAGGAAACAAATGGGCAAGAGAGGCAGCAGAACCTGACAGAAATGAACACAGTTGGAGTAACTGGCTGAACTGACTGAGTCTCACCATGCACAGTGACGCACACACAACAGATGGCAGTTTCTGAGCCAGCTGCCAGACCCACGCCTGTCACTAAAAAGAGCTGCTTTCATATTTTTTTCCAGAGTAACAGCAGTATGAACAGTTCTTTTTAGTGACAAACATTCGCTACAACCATTTGCATTTAAGCAGCAGTGGAGAACTGTCCCTTGGCCCAGGCTGAGTGGAGGAAAGAGCAGTGTCGCTGCCTGCAACTGTGCCTGCCCAGCATGAGACGCAGGCAGCATCTGTGACTTTACCAGGATAGCCCATGTCAGGTTAGTCTGCTGAGGTTATGCATCTTCAGCTCATTGCTATGCCAGCATAAGAGGGCTCATTTTCTTTGGGTGGCAGATCACTGTCCATAAGCTAAGGAGGTATTGCTAATATAGTAACACTTTTCTCTAGTGTGGACTTCACAGACTACAGGATTTTAAAAACAAAACAAAAAAAAAACCACCAACCAAAAACTTGAGAGTTAATTGTTTCCTTCCCCAAATCCTTCCTGTGTTTCCCTAGAAGAGAGCTGGTGACCTGGCTGAGGAATGGAAGGCTCTTTCTGGGTGAGGCTACAAGCAGTCACGCTGCTCAAAGCAATGTCCGGTGATGTGGCAGATCTGAAATAAGGTCAGCCTCTCCAAGGCTGCCTTTAAATGTCCTTCTCCCCACAGTCATTTATTTCGGCAAACCTTTCATTTGTCCTTGTGAGAGACAGAGTGAACAATATGAAGTAAAATCAGGCACAAAGGTGGGACAAGTATTAGGAGGGGGGAACAGAAGTAAACCACCACCTGACTTCCTAAGCTTCCTGTCAAGCAGCTCTCAGTTAGGTCAGCAGCAATGGTGAAGTCCAGTATCTCCAGTGCTTCTCAGAGCAGCAGGATGGTGCTATTATATGGCTGAGAAGTATCCCTGTCTTCAAGTAAGCAAGTGTCTCTACTGGTTCTTCCTTACCCACTTGCTTTCAGTCCCACTTCTTCCTTTACTTTGGCCTGGCTTATTTTAGGCTGACTAAAAGCACCACCGTAGTCCTGCACTCAAGGCTGACAAATTTAGAACCTCATTGTAACAGCGAAACACGTAAGGCTGATTATGATGTGAATAATAACTGTTGAGAAGCCCAGTCGTTTTCTGCTAGCAATACTGTCCAAATCAACTGACGGCTCCATATACTCTGGCAAATAAACCATATTTACTGGAAGAGGTTTACTTTTTCATTGCTTCGTTCTAGAGTCTGGTTTCCATGAATTAAAGCTGTTAATCTTATCTGCTGGCATAACTGGGCAATAAAAATCAATCTTTTTTTTTTTCCTTTAAAAATCTCAAATTATATTGCCTGTAAATCTAATTATAGTGTACTAAAGAAGTTTTCTGTACCAAAAACCTCATGCTAGTCTAGATGAAACTCAAGTTTTTTGGAAGACAGTTTATAAACAGTTGTGATCTTTTACCAGGAAATGTGAAAAAAATGATGCATGAAGACAATGACAGCAGCATGTTAGTGGACCTCTCATTACGCACATGACACCAGTATTAGCAATTCTGCCAAATGCAAAATACTCAAGTTGGAGTTCAATGACAACTGAAACAGCATAGTTGATCCTACCTGCTAAAATACATAGGGCATTTTGCAGCACATGGCATGTAACCCCCTCCTCCCCATCATAGGTTCTCCGTACCTGTCTCAAATTTTAAACTCCCATAACCAGCACATATGGAGCTTGAATAACTGAAGTACCTAATGCTTTGAGAGGAGTAGGTCTGATGGGTGTTTAAGTAAGTTCAGCTGGGTGACCTCACGATACCTGTATGTATTTCTTTCAAAAGCACTGGACGCGCATCAAGTCTAGATGATTAAAGGGCAAACTCCTTTCGGATCCTACAGGTAACCAGCAGTGCTTGCGTAGTGAGCATCATAGGGTCTAGCATATGTTTCCTAGCCTGCTCATAGGGCTAACACATCTTGGTCTTTTGTTAATTAAATATACAGAACATTCTAGAAGTAGCACAACTTGATGTTACACATTTCTGTTACAGTTTTACTTTCCTAGCCATGTAAAAAGCCTCCTCAACAGCTTTGCTCTCCTTTCTTAAGTACAAATACTTACCAGCAAGGAAAGTGAGCATTTCAAGATGTAGCAGTATCAAACCAAGTGAAATGATGGCTTTATGTTCTCCAGTATGTGTAAATCTAAGAAGTTTCTGCTCTAACACAGATGCAGCCTTTTGTTGGCTCCCCACCCCCCAGCCATGGAGAATACAACTTCTTCCTGATAGTCAAGAGACCTAACCTGCTTCCACTGTCGACTCACAACTGTGAATACCAGATGAGGCACCAACTGCCAAGAACATTTTTCATCATGAGATCTACCTAAGTAGAAACAATTGATTATACAAGTAAACCAGTGATGAGACAGGCACCCAGTGCCTCGATCTGCCCTACCTGCGCAAGTATTTCATCCAGCCATGTAGCATGATGCTGTGGATTGGCTAGCAGCCACTTGATAGCAGCATTGTAAACCTGCTTTTCATTTTCAATATTCAGGTCACTAGAGGACAGGAGTTTATAGAGGTGCTGTGGTGACACGCTCACAAAGTCTTCACACTCCACCACTTCTGTAAAATGTTCGCAAGCATATTGATCGGCCATGTCCATCAAGTCAATGCGGTTGTGACTCTCTGCAAATGCCCTGACTGCCAGACAGTTGGAGGGATGAAAGTGCAGCTTCATGTATTCACAGCACGCCTTTGCTACCAGTTCCACCTGAAGAATGCAAGCAGCGTACAAAAGAGGCTGGACATTATCCACCGTTAGAGTAAGCCGGGAGGAGTATACAAACTTCACTAGGTCTTCTATTGCATCGCCATCAAAGTCCCTGATCTCGATCAATGTCTGCTTGGCTTCAGCCATTTCCGAAAGAAACATGGCTCTGAAGTAAGGTATAACACAAGCTAGCACCAGTTTGTGGCAGGAGATAAGCTTTGAACCAACCTGAAAAAAAGAACAAAAAAACCCCCAATCTTTTACTGGAATGTCAGTTTCAGCTATGAAAGGATGGACAGTTAAGCTGAAATAAAAATTCTGAACTCGATATGCATTGAGCTACTGTATTTTGTTCAAACAAATTAACTCCATTTGCCCTTCTGACATTAGATCAATGTATCCCAAGCAGAACTGATTTATAACTTGGTTGCCAGATTAGGGCAAGGCCATAACACAAGGAAGCAATAGCACTGAGGCACTGAACTTGCTTGTCCTTAAGAGCCATGTCCTATTTTTTAAATGAAACATCCTTAGGAACCTTCTAGATGCATCTCAGAGACAGGGGGACAGAGCCAGGCACTTGTATGGTTTATGTGTATTCAGAGATTTTGAGAAGCTGGGAATTGTAAAGTGACATTTTTAGACTACTTAATTTAAACCTCTGGACTTTTACTACTCTTGAGGAATTAATAATGCTGTTTATAGAAGCAAATTCATGTAAAAACATGGTACTAACAGCTATTACAGGGATTATTAAAAGTTACCAATCACTTCAAGATTTTTAGAAGCTGTTTAGCCACAAAAGATAGAGTATTCCCCATAAAAACAACTTATTTTTCAAAATTCTGATCAGAAAGCACAAAATAAGCTTTTCACTTAATTACAAACTTCTAGAATTCAATTACATTAAAAGAGAATATAAATACTGAAGGTAAATGAACAATCCACTACTTATTTGTGTTGCAGGAGTGCTTTCTTACAGCCTTTGTCATTCTGCAGTCTGCACCAACATAAAGGGATGGCCAAGTTTAGCAACCAGTTTCCTTGACAGACTTGAATTACATGTTCCTTTTCAGATGAAGGTGTTACAGTGAGCTGTCTTGCAATTTAAAAAAAAAAAAAAAAAAGATATTAAATTATAAAGGATAAATTTGAGATTTTTTCTAGCTCTGATTCAATACACAATTGGTCTACCCTTTTTAAAGGTGTGGATTATCAACACAAGCACAACCTGCCTGGTGAGCTATAAGTTGAGTACAGAAAGCAAACACACATGAAGAGTACACAGATTAAAAAAGGGGAAAAGATGGATGGTTCAGTGGGAGCTACATAGATCACTCCAGAAGGAACAATTCATGGACCTACCAAATGAACAAAAAACCCAAACCAACAGGAGAAAAGCAGATGGTATGCATCTGCCACTCTCCGCCTTCTAACAGGGAACTGTTCATATGACAGTAGTAGTACAGCAGGTGAATTCCAGATTTTAACTCTTTGGAGCAGAGGAAGTGTCCCTGTGTGCTCCACGGTTTATCACTGTTACAGTGTCAGCACTCCAACTAATTATAGTACTGATGCAAAAAGATGCTACCAGCTGGTCTGCTATATGAGGGAAAGCTCCTGGGCCATTCTCACCTTCAGAGATTTTTTTCTGCTCATCATCTCACTCTCTAATTAGATCTTTCTTTTTCATTAAGTGGCTTCACTATATTACCCAAATCTGCTTAATTTTAAGTATCTAGCATGTTCTTGGTATTTCAAAATCAGAGTTTCCCTCTGAGTGCCAGCAGTTAAAATCAGTAATGCCAGAATTGGTCACTATCAGAGGTCATGCACAAAAGCAGAAAGTTCAGTACAGAAGTAATTATTCTTAAAACATGAGAAATGCCTGAGCACTACAGAAATTTTTAGTTCAAGATACAGTTATCAGTTACTTGAAAAATCACTGATTTAGGAAGCCTTATGATAAGAAGTACATAGGTTGCTCTAGCCTCCCCAGATTATATTCTCTGTTTGAGGACTGGAAGCCAACTCATGCAATCTAATATTCTTAAATTACCAAAGTAGCTCCACACAAATAATAGAAATGAACATTACTACAAGCCTAACTTAGGGTAAGTTAAACTACAGCCACAGTAAAGTGTATTTTCCAAACCAAGTTTCCCTAGCAGAAGTATGCGTTTAACTACATTTAGAATATAAGACTTTCTGCCTTTATCACAAGGGTGGGTGAAAAGGTCAAGAAAAGGGAAGAGCAGGGTTGTTAAGAGTTCTTCCCCAAAACAGCTTTTAAAATGACAGATGTAAAAAGACCTGATGATGAGCTCTCAGGCAAGTTCTGTTTCACGGCTCTCGTGCTATCTGGATCAGCTTCAGTATTGTCATCCAGTGTCCTGTGAGCATTAGCTCAACTGTTATGAGCCACTGGACCTATTTGCTGCTGCATCTAGTGCCTGGTCAGTGCCTGGTAACAGGCAATTTAATATCTGCTGTGAAGCAGAACAGAAAAATGTTCTTGATTATTCTACTCCTGTTGTCCACCGGGGCGGAAGGGATAGAAACCTTCCTCTCAGAGATTTCCACCGTCTCCCATGCACTTTAGAAAGATGAGATGCCTACTGGGGGGGAGGAGGGATCAGGGACAAACATCTGTCAAGGATTTTCCCTGTTAGTATCTAATAGTAAAAGTGGCAGGCAAACAATTTCTCCTAAAGGCATCTGTTATTTGTTCTTGGTATAGGAGCTATGCTTCATCTCTTTTTCTTAAATAACTATCTCACACTACTAAAATGTCTAGCTATGCAATACTTCATATTTGTAGGTGCTGGCAACCACTGTTACAGATGCTAGATACAAATTTATTGTGATCATGATAATATACAAGTAATATAGAACTGAGTTACAAAGAATATATTAAAGCAATGCTATGCAAGAATCATAACACTGGTTTCGTCCTCCTCCTCCTATCAGCTGTAGAACATAATTGCCTGGGTTGTGGGGTGTTTGGTTTTTTTCCTTTGAGAATGCTGGAAGTTAGATTTGTTCCAGAAATCCTGCTTGCCAGGAAAGATCTAGCAGAGCAACAGAGAATGCAAAAATAGAGATAATATTGCAGATGAAACTGTGAGAACAAAGAACCTACAACGAGCTGAAATTGCACAACTGCGTTTGGGTGAGGTCAAAGTCATGTACTTCCTCTCTCGGACTGTCAATATCTTGTTTCAGCTGTAAAATTCCTAAATAAAAAACCCCATGAGCATATCTAGAGATGCCTCAGATCCAACAGATATTCTGCAGCTTCCACACCCCTGCCCAAATTCACAGCCACCTCCAGCACATTTATTCATAGCTTAATCGTCAGACTGTTAAATGCAATAGATGTGTGATAATACCACCTTCAGTGTAATATCACAGAGCTCTCCAGCTTCAAAGAAGTGAAGAAGAGAGCTGTGAAAATCCTTCCAAGCCTCATTTGCCTCAAATACAAAGATGTCATCTTCAACTCTGTTGGAAGACCTAGTTTGCTGCTGCTGCTGCTGTTGCTGACGCCTTTTTCCCTTTATCAGATGTTCTTTTGCCTGCTCTGGGACCGTGGATTCTGAAGCCATCAGCTGTTCCTTCTTTCTCTGTGTGAATCTTCAAAAACTCCTGCCAAGACAAAATCCAGCCCATCAGGAGTCAAGTCCTAAAATGCTTTTAAATTCTGTTCATATTCCTGTTTAAAAAAACCCACAAAAAAAGCAGATGAGAGATTAGGTACTGCTAGTACTTAACACTTTGATTACATGTTATAAATACTACCTATACCTACTTGGGGAAGGTGGGAGAGGGGGGGAGGGGAAAGACCCACAGTCAAGAATCCTATGCGGGTACCTTTAGGAAAAGCCATTATTTGTGAACTTGTTGCCCGCACTTCTTGAAAAAGACATAAAAAAGAAAAGGCAAGGATGTATCTTCCAACATTCCTGATCTTACTGGAGGAGGCAGAGTTCCTCCTGGCAGAGGAACAGAAGGGACATGGCCCACAGACAGCTGTGCTTCTTTGGTCCCTAAATAGCATCTCTCATCACTGCTGCCACAGAGAATTGATCTGACCCCGATGGGTATTTTGTACACACTTAGTACTCAGCTTCCCTAGGTCTCTTCAAAACCTAAGGCAATCCTTATGTATTTTGTGCTTTTATGCAAATGTAAGCAAAATATAAAAAGGTTCTACAGAACTAGAGAACAAGAATATACACTTAGAGAAAAATTTTGGAATTAAAATTATTTCCTTTTATCTAGCAACCTTATTAATCCAACAGATTGATATTTAAAGCATGACAATGAGGGTTATGCAAAGTTTGGTCCTGCTTGCTAGCTTTTATTTTAGACTGTTTACCCAGCTTAGCTGAAAATATTTGAGGTGTCTAAGATTTATACAGCTCGCACTAAAGGAATCTTAGCTATCCTGAGATCACAGCTTTCCCAGGGCTGAAAGACAAATCAGGGATACCACAAACAACTGGGAGAAAGCTTTTTCTTCTTCTGTTACTCTTCCTGCTACAGTAAGCTTCAGTTAGGTTAAGCTTGAAGTCCATTTTTTTATTTCCAAAAAAAAAGTTAAGCAGTAGGGGAAGAACAAAATTTTTCCAGTTTGGTAGCATAATTTACATTTCAGCTCTGTGTGTCTAAAAGCCATGAAAGCCAACTCAGTGAGATTTAGGCTGTGTATCCACGTGTTTTGTGGAAGATTATGAAGACCACAAGAATAAATGAAATACTGTTTGAAAGCATGGAGTTACTGAATCAGCTTACAAGCAAGAGTTCTGTTAGATTTTGGCAAGGGAAGCAAATGGATTTGTGAGGTTTTAAGACAAAGCCTGCGGAAACTATATTTAGTAGCATGTTCCTCTCTTACACTGGCTAGCTTTGGTTTTCATGTTTTCTGGTTAATTTATCATGCATTTATTCTTCAGTCTACACTAAGAGTTGATGATTGCTGTAGTTCAGTGATTTCTGCTCATGGACTCCGGTGTCAGGGGAAGTGGACTGACTGAAGTAACAAAAAATTCTTCTACAATAAAAATGGAAGTCATGTGTCAGGAGCAGAACTGATTTTCTTCTGGGATATTTTGAAAAAGTCTGTGCTTCTTACTAAATTTACAACTCCTCATGCATCAGTACTAGAGAAAGAGCAGGCAGTGACTTGAGGCGACCATACTAATTTCTGCTGTAGGTCACAGGGTTATTGCCAGCTTCATGTCCTGTGCAGTGACAAGGCTGTTGGCTGCACTGGGCCAGGCAGGTTAAAGCAAGAGCAAACATGCCTAGAATATTCACTAATGGTGAAAGATATCTAAAAGAAAGATCTTACTACTTCTGAAACCACAAACTAGCTCAAAGATATTACGTATCACAGGATATTTACATAGTTTATAGCTATATTTCTGCTGAAAACTCTGTTATGCCAGATTTGACAAATTACTATACTAAGATGTTTTTCTAGTTCATTAGTAGGGAAAAATCTTGTTATTTTGGTTCCCCTCTTTTAACTTCAAATTAATCCTCCACTGCTGGTACTCACCACCATGTTTAACATGTCCTTTGAAGAGTCACTATTACCAGTGAGATATGAAGCTAACACAGAGCTTCGGAGGCAAGCTACAGAAGTTACAAAAGTGAACATAAGCAAGAGGAAAAAAAGAGAAGCTGAAATGCTGTACAAGGGTTTTGAAAAGCATCGTTTATTATTCATTCAGAAGTGAGATATAGCGTCTTTAGCCTACGCTACTAGTGAACTCTTGCTTATTTTGGTCCTTACCTGACACTCCACCACTCCCTAGCTACTCACACCTAACTATTTCTACAGCCAAGTAGAAACGCTGCTTTCAGACAGAACTGCCACTGCCTACTAAATGATGGTTCACAGCTCCCAAGTCATAAGGTTTTTCCATCTGGCATATATGCTACATTTATCCTCATGCTTTAATTGCAACTGCCTGTATACTTTCCAAAACTGTTCTGTGTCTCACTGTAAAAGGGGCTGATGGTGTATCTTTTAGCTATTCTGGGTATGCCATTGTAAACACCAACACAAACCCCATGAGTCTTAAGATAAATCCGTGCTGTTGTGGCGACTTTTTTTTATGTTTTAAATAAACTGAGCAATAACACAAAAGCCAAACATTATAAGCAATGCTCTTCATCTGTATCTGATGCTTATATCAAATTAAACTCTTGGAGATGCTCTGAGCTCTAACCTGTAAGAAAAAAAGTTGAGTTCATATTTGGATTTATGTATCTAGTACATACTAAGTACACATTTGATATTGCAGAGGAAGAAACTAGAAATCGCACCAGAGGAAACCAAGGCCATTACTCAGGCACATAGCCACAGTTAAGAGAATCATGTGTACAACAGAGCTCCCAACATGCCAATATCAAGTGTATGGGAACATGCCAATATCAAGTCAGTTACTGCTCCCCAGGTAAAAAGAAGTTTCTGCCACGTGTTAAAAATTAACATGTTTAATATAACCTTAAGGAAATATTCAGATAGCAATAGTCTGACACACTTCATGTTCATTTTGATGAAACTTTGTGACAGATAATATCTCATATAAGATTTTTGTTTTTCCCACAAGTCACCAATTCAGGAGCATCTTGTTTCTGTGACGCATCTCAATCATCCATATCTTTTTAGATATCTATCCACAAACCCTCCACTTGTCTTAGTTACAGCATCTCACAGTTTGAGTCTTCAAACAAGTCATAATCTACTATGGAAAGTACCAGCTGTAGCCATGAGTCAGTTGTAAAGCTAACTTTGAAGGAGGGCCAGGTCGCTGTATATATCCAGTTGGCTGTTAATTGTATCTGGATTGAGAAATAGCACTGTTATGAATTATATTGTCTATTTGAAAAATCAAGGTATTTTCACAATTAGAGGTTTAAGGTAAGTCAAGAGCCACTACCATACTTAACTTCTGTAAAGAGCCAGTCTTATCAACACTAGTTAAACACAAAGAGAAGTAATATTACAGATGTAAACCACAATATTAAGATAATGTATTGAAGTGTGTGATACAATCTATCATGACCCAGATAGAAGGAGAGAACAGATGTTTCATTTGCAGAAAATGCTGGTTTGGGCTGATCTGAATGCTTAGCTATAGGCCCTTACTGTTGTCAGATTTTAAATGAATGGAACAGAAATGAGTCTTAGTAGCGCTTGAATCAAGATACTAAATTCCGGAAATATGAAGGTCACGCAGAAGTCATGAAGGTCAGCATATTTCAACTCCAAACCTACTCCTCCTTCCAGCTTGAAGTGGAATGGTAAATAGTTTTGTCATGGCACAGCCTTAAAGGGATAGCATATGAAAAGAGCAAGAAGTTGAAGTTCTATTTTCACATCTTTAATTATATAGAAGTTCACTAATTTAAGAACCACTAGCTAGGAGGATTAATCAGCATTTAGGTTAGCATGCATGATGCTCTGTTAATTATGTACTAAGAATCCACAAACTGAGACAAGAGCCATTTACAGATTTGCTCTCCAAATCAACAGCAATGGAACAAATTACATCCAACTACTTGAGGTTAGTTTAGTACTGGGTAGATGCTGCAGACTTACACACAGTCTTTCCTCTCTAGAACAAAACACTACCATGGCCATTCAAAACCTCAGTAACATGTGCTCCCTTTTCATCTTGGCAAATAAGTCTTCCAGCCTCTGTACAGTCTAGTATTTTGACTACACTAAGAGTGTACCATCACAGAAAGCAACTGACTCTACAGGAAGTGCCTCATTCATAACATCATCTGTTATTCCTTGTAGACAGATGCTTGACACTTTCCATGAAGGAGTAACTGTCTGAATAAAAAAACAAACCACACATTGTTTATAGCTCACCATTGTTTGCTGAGAGCAGGTCAGCAATTTTCTTGTTCCAGTTAAATATTTAGAAATTTTGATGATGTCTGCTGTTTCCAGAGTGCAGCTGTTCCAGACTCAGTTGGCATTCTGGTCCTCAGTGCTGGTCCTCAGGCAAGGGACCAAGGATCCCCTCCTAGCTATCCCTCACTATCGAACTTAGGAAAGTAAGCAGGGATGGGAGGTCAGAGCGCAAGCACATTATCTTCCATCTGCTGCAATTCAGGTACAGCAACATCCTAAAGTGAAGCGATTTTGGTCCAGACATTCCAGCTAAATCTGAAACTGAATAAAGTGCAACATTCCTCAAGTCATGGACTTATGTTCAGTAGAGGTAAAATACCTCAAATAATTTTGAAGCAAAAAGAAATTAAGACATTAGACAGTGGCAGGAATGAATAAAGATTGCTCTGTTTTCCCATCATGAAATTAAACCCCAAGAATCCTGGCCAACAAGCCAACCTAAATGTTGGAGTACATGGCCTCCTCCCCATCAGGTACCTTGGGAGACAGTGTCCCAGAAAGGGGATCGTCCTTGTTCTTCCACTGACACAAGGGAAGGAGACATTTCAGTGACACAGAACAGAAACAAAACCAAGACTCCCACTGTAACCACAACTCGGCAGCATTCAGATTAGAGGTATTATTATGATACCCATAAATCCAATGCTCTGAAGGTGGAAAAAAGAAGGCAGAAGTCCAGGAGAAATCAAGATGCAGGTGAAATTCCACCAACTACCCTGTATGTAATTTTCGTTACCCACCCACAAGACAAACAAAAATCACATCATGATCTGTGCAGAGAAGGGCAGTTGCCTCACTCAGAAAGCAAAAGGGCCTTTTAATTGAAGGAGATGAGAAATCTGCCTTCTGTAAATGCAAAGTTTGTAGCCCTAATGAGCAGGGAGGTTTTGGAAGTGACTTGAGTATGAACAGACTGCATGCATATAAATATATACAAGCTTGTACATGTGGCTGTGTAAAACTAACTTGCCTAAGCCTGATGAGTCTCTGCGGGTAAATATATGCTGGTGTTGCTGACCACAAGATTAGATAAGCATATACAGTGACAAGATCTTCTCCAGTTTAATCTAGCTAACAGAACAAGTCTAGCTGTTGTCCTGTGTTGTACTAAGAAAACGTGAACATTTGAAAAGAGGGCAGCTGGCAGAGCTAAGGAAGAGACAGGGGGAGAGAAGTGGGAAGGGCAGGAGGCAGCTGCAGCGCAGCCTGCAGCCAAGCAGCAGCTCTGGCCCGGACTGCACAAGCAGCTGTTCGCTGTTTGGTCTGGCTACAGCTACATCACCAAGAAGGAACAGGGTGGGGGCAAACTGATAGACAAAACAGTGTAGAAAAACCTCAGTACTCTCCCCTTCCCCATTCACCAATTCCATCAAAGGAGTTATGGAAACCTCATGCAAAACTGCTGAAATGCCCATGCTAATTAAATCAAATCAGACAAGGTTGGAAAACATGGGAAAGTTAATGTTACAGCTGTATTACAAGCCTGAGCCTACTGTACTTTTCAGCAGAATGTTAATCTAAACATAAAAAAAAAAAAATTAGAAACCACATATGTAGCTGGTTTAGCTTGTTTAAAACCACCAGGCTTCCTTTTGTAGAAATTCATAAAAACTTTCTTAGACAGCACTAATATAAAATTTCTAGACCCTTTCAGTATTTCAAAGGTTCTTTGTAGCCAAAACTGACATTATTGTTTTGTGTTACTTGTCACACAGGTAGCTCAGAAAACAGTGAAATGGGTACAATTGGCACCATCTTTCACCTGCTTTTATAACCAAAGCCCCGTCAGTGCTGTAGACACACAAACAGTGAATGAAGACTGCTCTTTCTTGGAAAAATGCAACCAAAAAAGGACAGAAAAGGTGTTTTGTGGCACGTGAAAAGCATAGTCAGATAAAATCTCATTTTGGATATAATTCTGCCTGGCAATCCCTTCATCCTGTTTTGAGTCAGCTTCTTCCCTGCTTCCTTTGACCCAATATATAAATAGGCTCAACAAAGTTCTACTGAGTTTTAATCCCAGTTTCCAATGAACACCAGAAAGGCCAACTGTCTCTGGGCTTTGTGGGATGACAGGTTGACAATTTCGCAAAATCAAAAACAACCAACCTAATATGCCATGATTTACTTACGCTTGATTTACATTTGCTTCAGAACAACCACCAAAACCCATCAGAAGCCCCAGAACAGCGAAGAAGGACTCTGCTTTGCAGATACAGGTGTACTTAAGAAGTTCTTTGTTTATGCAAGGTAACCTTGGGAATATCCAAAAAGTAGAACACAAAAGAAAAAACACTGCAAATCAGTCCAATTCCTGGGACCATAGTAAAGTGTTGATAGATATGTAATAAAAATTTTAACTAGTACTTTACATTGGTAAGAACACAGAACAGGCCCTTACCAAGGAGAGTCACTATTGTCTTCTCTGATGGACCCAGTTAAAAATAACAATAGTTTAATGGTCTCCATAGCAGTGTTTAGTCCAGCCCTTCCCGGGAAGGGTTAACAGAGAGCAAAGTAAGTTCTAAGTCATTTGCAAGCTGCCCTGGACCTGTACTTCAAACCACAGCATCCCAGAGCTGTAGCCAAACACCACTTCCCATACACTCACCAGCCCCATCCTCTCAGGGCTCTCTGCCTTAGCTGCCAACCATCATACTCTCATCTAGAGTCAAGACGCACTGAGGCTGCAGCCTCATGCTACACTCACAAGTCAAACGGCTCAAACCATAAAGCAATATCATCTTCCTTTTGTGCCAGAGCTGTAAGGCTCCTTCAAAATCTGTTTGATATCAGGAGGGGGCAGACGTAATACAAGATAAAAGGCTTCACAACCCAAGAAGCTACTGCTATTGATGCAGGAAATTATTATTAAAAAATCTGTTTGGTAAAGCCTGCTGAGGAAGAACTAAGACACTGGCTAACATGGTACTATGCTGCCTTACATCAGATTACTGTCAGTGACTCTGTCCTCATGTGACCATGCTGTTTAAATTTGCTTTTACAAATAAATGGCCAACTAGAACACTGGATGCCGGGCTACTGACATCTCACTAACAATTTATAAAATAAACCAGGTCATGAGTACGCTGCTAATCACACGCTGAACAGAAACCAGGGGTACAATCTTGGCATGTTACAAAGCAGACACACTTCTTATACAGCACGAGAGTTCACAAAGAGTTTATAGGCAAATCAGCCCAAACTAACTCAAAAACCTCAGACCCAATTGCTTAAAGAAGGTGGCCAAACCTTTTGCAGCTTAACCTAAATTACAAGCAATCAAAGGCATGTGTGACACACATGTTGTGGCTGTAGCTTCTTAATTACTGATGAGCTATTTTACCAGCTGTGGGACTTTTCTATAGTCACACAGGTGAACTATTTCTTGATTGTACTTCCAGAAGCCTTTGCAACAGGCACAGAAAGTCAGGTACCTCTGAGTTCGGTAACTTTTACCACTGCAGAATACATAGGAATGACTAGGCAAAGGAGGAAACACAGATCTAAAAGCTAGGAGGTCTGTGAAGTACCTCTGATATGCTGCAGAAAATGGAATTTCTCATGGAGTAGGAACAAGGAATCGTGAGTAACAGGATCTGCTGGTTAGAAGGAGCTAAGATATAAGGAATTATTTGCCTTATCTGCACGTAAAAAGAACTGGTGACTATACCCTGAAGAGGAGCTAAAATACAAAAAGGGAACATCCTGACTCAAAAGGTCCAGCCAAAGGCTGGGTAAATGCTGAATTGGCATGATGTCATCGAAGATCTGCAGTAACTGGGGGAAAGGCAAAGGCGGTGAGGGGAGATTGCGACCACCGCCTCAAATCGAACCCGAAGAAACATGTCGTGTGTGTGACCCATGGAGCATGTGTGCTAATTTACACAGCAAGCAAGACTAATTTAAATATAATTAACCAAAAGCAAATGTTACAGTGATCGATGGCCAACAGACATGAACTTAGGTGGGTTTTCTTTAATCATGTAACTACGTGGTAATTTTCTGGAATGGTGTGCTAGCTTTCTGGAGTTACCACCTAGCACCCATCTCTGTGCAGAAATGAAATAAAAGCAAATACCTTGGCTTGGTGTGGAATTGGTCATTGCACACCAGGTAAAGAACCCAGATTCGGGATAACATCTCCATAGCCCTTATGGATAAAAGCTTGATTGACTGATACTTCCCAGCAGCCAGTAAGCAATTGGCTTGAGTGGAGTTGGGAAGGTGGAACCTAACAAAGCAGGAAGGAAATGCAAGCAGGCAGTATAAAGAGCTGGTGGAGTTGCAGCATCTGAAATTCTCATTTATCTGGGAAGGAGAGAGAGGCTAGGAACTCCTTAGGCTTCTCCCCAGAAGCAACAGGTAAATTTTTACTGTTTTTTCACACAAGAAATATTTGGGTTGTGGTAACTGAAGTGACTTTACCTGCTACCTGTTACAAGATGTCAATAATAAGGTGACTAGGGCACCAGTTTCTCAGGCTGCGGTCTCTACAATAGCGAATTACATGCGGTATCTTAAAACGTGTGGACTCCCAGCTCACTTTATTTGCGTGGGTTTGTCCCTGTGAATCTTATGGCAACTATGAGCTCTGTGGGCGCAGGACTCCACGGATGCCTCCCAAAAAACCCGCCCTCTGATGCCGAGGAGCGGCCGGCCCCAGGCAGCGTGCCACCCTCGCGTGCTCTCGCAAGGGGCTCGATCCAGCCCATCTGCACCAATTCGAGGTTATCTTACAAGAAATCCACGCTCGCTTTGGGTCTCCGATGCCGGTCGTGGCAATAACCATTTGTAATGAAAGGAAGCTGGGCCTTTTACCGTCCCCCGAGGCCGACGGGGCGCCTCAGGGGAGCGGGGGCCAGGCCGTCCCCCCCTCCGGCTAGAGGAGTCCGGACAGGGGTGTCCCGGGGGTAAGAATGGAAGGGGGGGTGCTGCGAGGAGGAGGGGAACCCCTCTCCCGCCCGCGCCAAAGCAAGCAGGACCGCTTCCCGTTACACCTGAGGGGAGGGGGGCGAGTTACATAA